TGTCCATAAAATTTCAGCCTTAAGTGACATCAATTGTACATCATGTTCGTACCTGCACATACCAACATGAGTGTACATGTGTAGAGTACACAATAGCCCCTACGTGTGTATGTTTTACTATACTGTGTACTCCAAACTCACCATCTGTGTTTTCTACACTGTACAGAAGACATGTACATGTACATACAAGTATGTACGTTCATCTACTAGTACTAGTCCATGCAGTCAATCTTTAGTCTTTCCACAAACTTCAGTTCAACCTACACGTACATGTACAGTACATACATGTACTCGGTGCATGTACATGTACAAGTATTCGTAGATAGCAATTCAGCCAATGCATACAACTTGATCCACAATTAGCAATGCTTATATGACTAGGTCAAGTCTAGTAACCATAAACATGAACTGGTACATAAAGTAGACGCGGTAGAACTTGGAACATTGTCTGCCATTCACAGGATATTCTAATAGTAATACACTGTACATTCATGTACAACTGGACATACTATGTACCTGTACATGATACGGCTGTACATGTACATGTATGTGTTTATAATACACCAGTACATACAGTACTTGTGTGCTGCATACATGTACATGTCATTGGATAACCATTACCAGTAGGGGTCTACATTGTATACATGTACATGTACATGTAATGGTGTACCAGGGAAGTTGAGATGAATCAATACATGTGTTTATACATACCGGTACATGTACCGGGAAGCACCGGCATTAAAATAAAAGTTAGTCTGTAGGCCTACTCTCACTGCAATGTAGTTTCTACATGTACATGTTCTTTACCATCACATCAACCAATTTTAATGTACAGTAGTCTCCACACGTGTATACATATAGTTGCAACATATCAAGTGCACTTAGATACTGTATCCGAGTTGCCAAATGTTATTATTAACTGGTTGTGTTGTCTACAATGTAGACATGTACAAGTATGTATACAGGTAGGCACAATATAATTAGTTCCATGTACAGTGTACAACGTTTCCATCTAGCATAATGTACATGTATAATTAATATACACCTGTGTACATGTATACATGTACACATAGTGTTTGTATTCAGGTTAAAGATCACTGATCCATGTTATGTGATGGTAAAGGCAATGAGCATTGCGTATTGTGCCAAAGGTCGATCATCAGAGCTATTTTAATACCGGTATACATGTATATAAATTTAGATTTTACATTGAAATTATATTTAACATACCATACATAAATTAACAAATCACAAACTTG